AATGAATGGGCTAATTAAGGAATTAAGAGCAGCCGCTGGAGCAAAAACGAGCCCGCACGCTATCCCTGCGGGGATTGTGCCTGATACCCCTGTTCCGTGGTGTGTCTGAAACCATCTGGAACGGCTCTATCTGTGGCCGGGCACTTTGCCTTTGGAGTGGGCATTCCTGCATTCTCTGCCAGGGAGATGGAGACAGGCACTGCCAGTAAGCAGGAGCTAATGTGCTCCACCTCTCCCTACACTGTCCCTCCCATCCCCACCCCTGCCCCGCCCCCTCCCATACACCCCTACCGTCTGGAGAGCCATGGAATCTTCCAGCAAACCAACTCAGGAACTTGAAACCTGTGTTGTGGTGGCTCTGAAACTTAGGCCTGGATTCCATCAACATTTTTCCTTAACTCAATAATTACAGGCAAGTGTCAGTCTGCTAAGTGACACTAATGTAGTGTAATGTGCTTTTTTCACCACAAACACAGTTTTGTTTTATTTACTCATTTTGATGGTTGTTGAAATTGCCAAACTGTGTGAAGAAACAAAGAACCCCTTGCATTTGGTGTTGAGGACAAACATTGAAGGGAATCCAGGCCTCAGGTCCTGGCGGCCGGTGGCAAGTTCTGTTTCAATTCTAAAGCCATGGGCTGGTTTTTGTCATGACCAGTTGCCCTGGCTGAATAGCTTAAATGAGTGAACTGTCTGTACAGAGTACATTTGCATCGATAGATCACTCAATATGCTGTAATATTTTAATACAGTCCACATCAGAGGCATTCCTGTGTATCTTGTCTGTTTATCAGAAAATGGCTAAGGATTAATGAGTGAAGAACAGAACCTGGAACATAAACCAGCACATGTATCAGACATCTGAGAAGTGAGTTTGAAACCCCTCTGTAGCAGACAAGTCCCAATGGGACATACACTAGTTTGCCTGAGTGTTTCAATGTTGCTGCGTGATGAAGTTCAGCACATTGTGTGGTTAGGGTGCAGTGATGGCACAGTGGGGCTTTGTGAACCTCATGATGGGTAGAGCTGCCAGGCACTGCCAATCTGGTGGTTGTGAACCAATCAGAAGACTATGCCCACAAGAGTCGACCACTGCAATTGGTTCAGCTGCTGATAGTGCTTGATAGCTTCCCCTTGTTTTGGAGTATGCAAAGTCTCACCCTCCCCTTGCTAGATGGAAGGGCCTGTGGCAGTAAAACCCTGCACTGTTGCTGGAGTATAATCTGTTTGCTCAGTCAGCCAGCAGGTGTTATTTTGCCTGTGGTGGATGCTGATCTGAGACCAGCCAAACATAGCTCTAGCCTCTCATAGCCCATAGCTTGCAGTTGTCCACTGAGTCATTAAAGAGCACCTCTGGGGAAATGACAGTGCCTTACTGTGTTATTATTGTTAATATTTATTTGCTTGGCAGACTCCCACATTCACAACAGCTTACAAAGCATTGCATTTTTACCTGTTATCCAGTCATAAAGCTGGTCATTAGCTGAAGCAGCTCTGGGGGATTCCCTGATTTGAGGGTACAATGGCAATGCCCAGCCTGAGAGATGAACATGTGACCCTCTGGTCAAAAGCCCACCTCCTCGTGCCACTCAGACCAGAGCTTCTCACAAATGTGCAGGTCATCTCTCCTGGACAGCAACCCTTTGGCTCTGGGGTGACCAGGGTAAACCTGGGAGGACAGGCGTTGGTGGGATGAAGGGGGTTAGTGGAGATTAGGTCATCTGAAGCTCCTCCTTGTGTCCCAGACTGACGTGGTTGTACTGATAATACCTCAGGGACAGCACCACATTGCCTTCAGATGTCTTCTGTAGGTGAAATCCACGGCTTCAGGAGATATGGACAGGACCCAGATATGAACTTCAGCTTTGCTTTTATAAATATAACTTCAGGAACTGAAAAACTGGGACGGGACAAGGGGGTGGATTTGGGGGCTCAAAATAGCACATGTAGTGCAAGATGACAAACAGTGAGAAATGAGGGTGTGCCAGCCAGACATGATGGGCGTTATTGTGGGGTTAGCCTTCATCCTGACTCTCCTACACTAAAACTGTACTTTGGGAGGAGGAGATGAGAATGTGGAAATGATTGAAGCCCCAAAGGAGGGTTCATGAGGAACACTCTCAGCCTAATGTCCAGGGGTGATCCCTTCATGGGACTCCAACCCAGAGATAAATATCCTTATACCCACATCAAAAAGCCGGCCTCCGTGTTCTCATATCTATGGCATAAAGCTTTGGATAGAGCATGAACTGGTCTGTAATTCTGAAAAGATCTGCCAGTGTCCTAGCCTCAGAAGAGATGTAAGTGTACTGACCTCCGGAGCTGGGGTGTGTACAAGTGTGAATAGTTTCAAAATGCCACACAAAGCTGTTCAATGCTAGCATTCACAAAATACTGAGACCAGCCTCACAGTCACACTCCTGTCTTCCATCAGTCCCGACATGCCTGCCTTTAAAGGTAGCAAAGCATACAAACACACAAACATACACACAGACACGTACACACAGACACACACATGCTCACAGTCAATAGTCACAACACAGTCCCATTCAGTCATCCTACTGATAGGCTTTCAGCTGCTTTGAAAGAAATTGATCATTATCTCTTTTTACAAATTAAACAGAACCTGCCACAAACTAAATATGTGAACACCAAGCAAGCTAAATTTAGACCATCAACGGAAAATGATTCCAACAGATCTGGCAAGACCATTCATTTCTTTAACACAAAGGAAGCTGTCCTTCTCTCTTCACTCAGATTTCTTTGTTCTCTCCTTTGGAGGATGTTTTCAGCCAAAAGCCCAAATGAGCTGTGTTGACCTTGTCTAATCTGTCATTCCTAGACTCTTCACAACACGCAGGTCCCTGTAACATCTCTTCCTCCTCTGGTGTAGTGCCCCTTATTGATGTAAAGCCAGAGTTTGTTTCTGACTTACCAAAAAAACACAATATAAAGAAAGTGAAGACACATTTCCCAAATTTGTACAAACATTGTGATGTTAGGGCCTTTTGTACAGTATTGTTTAAGATAAACATTAGCCTCAGCGCAGGTGATTTGCATGTGACACTCGTTATCGGTGCATCACCACACCATGCCCAGGGGTGACGGGGCAGGAGAGAGTTGGAGGTAAGAGGCTTTCAGGCCAGTTGTGCGGGCGGAATACTGCTGCCGCTGAGTCACCGTGGCAACCTGCAGGTCATTTCCTGTCAGTTCCGTTTCTCGAGCTCCGGGAGAGATGGAGAGACAGGCCCTCCGGCCTTCGGGGAAGAGGAGGTGGCCTCGCTGAGAGGGGAACTCCTGATAATCGCCCGTCTAATCTTCTTATTCTGCGTCCCTCCATCCCTGTAATTATTAGCCCGCTGTCAGCGCGTCAGAGAGCCTTCTCAAAGAGGCGGCACAAGAGCAGCAATCCTCTGCAGGGTGAAACGAGCTGTGCCCGCCGCGGGAGGGCTGCGGGTTTGAATCTCAGCGAGTGCAGCTTGCCCCGCTGATGTCATGTGTCAAAACGCCAAATCATTTTTGTCCTCCACAATTTGTGCTTGTAGTGTGAGGTGATTGGTTATTGTCCTGTCAATCAAGCACATTTCTGGGCTAAGTCAAGGGAAAGGACAAGATTGGCCCAAGTATCATCCTCCTAGGGGTAATCAAGGCCATGTCGCATTTATACTACATTCCCTTGTGTGTCTGTATGTGTGTGTGTCTTTGTGCGTGGGAGTTTGTCCTTGTGGGCGAAAGTGTATGGCTATTGTTCCTGTGAAAAGGTTAGGGCCTCAGCTGGTATTCCAACAGGAAATGGTGATTTCCATGGCGATGAATGACTCCTAAACCAACAGCCTGGGTCATGTGAGGGCATCTCCCACGCTTGCTTCCTCCCTGCCCAGAGCATGTTACCCCAGAGTGACCCACATGGGCAGGGGACATCGTCCGGCCTTTGAAGGTTGGGGCTGTCCACAAATGTCCCAGGACAATGACCCCTGACTCCTGACCCCTGACCCTGCTGGGCTGCAGGGTTCCATACATGTGCCCACTCAGAGCATGCATATTCATTGGGGATCCAAGGTTTCCCAGTGGGCCAGTGCTGTTGTACCCTTGGGGCAGGTACCTAACCTGAATTGCCTCAGTTAATATGTATCTATGTTAATGGATAACATGTAAAAATTGAAATGTAATGTAATTTACTGTATTGTAGTGGTGTAATGGCATTAATGTAATATAATGTAGTGTAGGGTTATGCAATGTGGTGTAATACTATTTAAACTATTTAATGCAATGTAATGTGATATCATGTAGTGTAGTTTAATGTATTTCTGTGTAACGCTATGTAATGTAATGTAATGTAATGTAATGTAACGTGCTGTAATGTAATGGACCCTGCGCGCGTTCGGAAGCGGGGAGGCACCAGGCGCCGCACCGCTGTGCGCGTCTGCCGGCGCAGGCTGCCGGGCCGCAGATGTGGGTCAGCGCTGGGGGGTACGGTGGCACAGCAGGCGCATGGCATGCGAGCGGTATAAATAGCGCGGTCCTGCCCGCGATATAAATAGGGCCAGAGGATATACAGAGAGGCCCAGGGGATGGGGTGAGGAGGCTGCTCTCTCGCCATCACCCCAGCGCCGACGCTCCGCCCCTCCGCTCCGGGGGCTTTCAGACCCAGAGGGAGTGTCCCAGATGTGCGGTCCTCTTGGTGCCGCGTGACTTTGGGATGCCCCCTGTCATGAAGGCATCCTGCTCTGGAATGGGGTGGGGGGTCAAACTGAAAGGGCTGGATGTGCCTGTGTTGGAATCGGTTTGGGAAATGTGCAGGGGGTGGAACCCCCTTGTGCTCATTGGCTGGTGGATCTTTGCTGTGATTTCAGTGGCAGTTAGGTGAGTGTCATAGTTCAAAACAGACTTATTTGCTTGTTTGGGACCAATTCTATAGCTTAGATGTTACAAATTTCATTTTTTCTATATTGTGCTAGTAGATATTTAGGTTAAGTCCACTTCTCAAGGGTCCAGTCACAGTGCCATTCCAGGAATTGAACCTGCAACCTCCTGGTCCCAAACCAGCTCCTTAACTACTTTGCCACACGCCACACATTGCCCGTCAGACCTGTGCTTCTCCCTAACCGACCAATCAAACCCCCCGGACAGCTCCGCCTCCACAATCTCAGATTAGACTGTATAATTGGCATTTAGCAGAGGCTCTTAATCCAGAGCGATTTACATCAGGTACAGTTTCTTTACAATGTTATCCATTTATACAGCTGGATATTTACTGAGGCAATTGTGGGTTAAGTACCTTGCTCAAGTGTACAGCAGCGCCCTGGATGGAATCGAACCGGCAACCTTTCGGTTACAAGTCCTGCTCCTTAACCTCTATGCTACGCTGCCCCCATCTCAGGCTCCAGGGTGCATTTGGGAAGCGGATGGGTGGGGTGTGGGTGTGTTAGCGGGGATTAGGATTGTCCAAATCCCCTCCTTTATGTCCGGGGAGCCCTGATTTCCACCCTCGGCAGATGCCGCTGGGCCTACACTCTACCAGCTACACTCAGCAGCTTCTAGGCATTTTCCTAACTGGGTGGTGACTTCAGCAGTTACGGGGGAGTAGGTGTTTCAGTTCTGCCGGGCCAGGCTTCCCGGAAGCCTCCTGTGACGCCTTGCTCTCCCGCCATGCCATTGGCTGTGAGAATTTGCCGAGGAGGCCAGCTGTTGGAAATAAATTCCTGCCCTCGAAGGCCTACCAGCCCCGGCGATCCTGTGTCAACAGCTGCTGTCAGAGTCAGCCAATCGAGAGAGCCATGCAGAGGGGAAGCCTCAGAGGTCATGTGGTTGGGGTGAGGATGAGGAAGGGCTGGATGGAGAGAGAGATAGTGAAGGAAGGGGAGAGGAAAGGTGATGGCCGACCGGGTGAGAGGTGATATACGGGAAGGGGTGGAGAAGAGGGATTTGAGGGAGGAGATAGAGAAGTGAGACTGGGGGAAGGAGAGGGCAGAAAGGAAAGAAGAGGGACCAGTGTTGTGGTAATGCTGGGATTAGTGTAGGCAGTCTGTAGGCAGGAAATCCATCCATTCTCTGGCAGATCCTACACAAGGGATCAGGGGCACTCACCTCTGTGTGTGTGTGTGAGTGTGTGTGAGTAAGTGCGTGCGTGTGTGTGTGTGTGTATGTGCGTGTGTGTGACTGTGTGTGTGCATATGTGTGAGTGTGTGTTCACTTAGGAGGATGTGTGATTTAGTATTCCTGGAACAGACATTAAAAAGGACACAGAATGAGTGTTTGTTTTGGAGAGTGTGGATTTTGTTAACAGCATCCATGAAAGAGGTCGTTGTGTACGCATGCACGTGTGTGTCTTTTGGGGTGTGTGTATTTTTAGGAGCACCCATTAGTGTGTCTGTGCATGTGCATGCTGTGTGTGTATTTGTTTTAGAGAATGTGTTTTAAGAGTCCAAGAGTGTTGCACGCCTGTGTGTTCATGTATATGTCTGTATATTTATTTAGGAGAATATGGTGTTTTGGCAGGAACACCCTTGAAAGAGTGGTGTGTGGGTGTGTGTGTGTATGTATGTTTAAGAGAATGTGTGTGTGTGTGTGTGTGTGTGTGTGTGTGTGTGTGTGTGTGTGTGTGTATTAACCCATCAAAGAGTACAATTTGTGTGTATGTGTGTGTGTGTATGCTTGTGTGTGTATTTATTTTGGAGAATGTATGCGTTGTCAGAGCGCCCGTTAGCGACTGCAGTGCATCTGTGAGTGTGTACCTATGTGTGTGTGTGCCAGCATTGCAAGGTGCTCATTCCTGGTGCGGGAGGGCCAGCACTGCAGTCACCTCCACCAGAAGCACAGAGGGACACCAGTGCTGACATCATCAGCCCTGCGCTACCAGCTGGAAACACAACCCCCGGCCCCCATACTGCACAGGCCAGCATGTCGCAACATCCAAATAAGAGCTGAGGACTCCATGCTCTTTGTAGGGGCAGTCCCAGACATTACTAGTCAAACAAGGAGCTACACATAATGGTAGAATTTAAAGTGACTTTTTTTTAAGTCTGTCTATTTTTTTCTCTTTTCATTTCGTTTGACCTCTGATGAACAAAGACGTTTGAAAAATGTGCTCCTGTCTCTGAGAGCGAGAGGCCCGTGTGATAGGGCAGGCGGGCGAGCCTTCCCAGCGGTCTGAGGGGGATGATCAATGAGGCTGGGTGCGTGTGGAGTGGAATCACCCTCATCGAATATCGGGCTGTAGGCATGATGCGTGATGAGTGTAATATAAGCTACATGAGTCTCCCTGGCTGCTGGTGTCAGCGGACCGGACACGGAACGCACATGCAAGCACGTGAGAGCAGGGACAGCCGTCTGAAGCTGAGCTCTGCGGGCTGGGGGGGTTTGGGGGGCGGGGGATTAGGGGGTTTGTCTGCCTGTTCTTCTACACTCTGAGCCCCTTCCCCTCATCAAGGGTCCCACCACTGCTCTTTCATCACAAAACCTTACACAAATTTCCCCCCCGTCCTTGAAAATTCAGTTGTCCCTCTCTCCCCCAAATCTACAATTACAAACATCCTGAATTATTAAATCCTAACTGAGCACAATTGCTAAGTCCTCCTAATCCATTAGCTTGATGTCATGCCAATATGTTGATATGGCTAATAAATTAGCCAGCTCACTCGCTCATACATGAAGCCCACCAGTAGTCATTCATGACTAGTGTTTGCTGCTGCATACAACTGTATGTGCCCACCGTACTTGGGTCAAATACAGTAAAGTCAATTTTCAAGTATTTCAGCATTTATTTCTCAAATGACATTTTTGGATGTGTTTGAAGCATTTTTGGAATACATGCTGAAGAACTGAACAAAGAAATACTTTTTAAATGCAGATAGTGGTGCACAGCAGAGTTTGGTTCAAAACAATTTAGCTGTCACAGAAATAACAGAAATCTCTATTCACTCTTGGATGGTATTTTTGAAATGAAATTTTGAAATGACTTGAAATTTGGGGAAAAGTGATAATTTGCCTTATAATATAATAAGCTTCCTGTGAAGCTCTTTTTCAAAAAAGAGTGTCTATATCTGAGTCACTCATGTTCAGAAAATTACATAAAAGCCAATATTTCATGTGCAAGAACAAATTAAAAGTACGCTTGACCTTAAAAGTGGGCCTGTTGAAGCCTTTGGCAGAGTACAAAGTGCAAAGCATGAAACCTACGTATGTAGCTACACGATCCAAGTGGAAACACATGCTATCATTAGATTAGATGATTGTATAATTCAGAGTCAATGTCAACATATGCAACTGCCTCCTGAGGACAAGATAACACTTCCATCAATAAGCAGAGAGCAAAGGAGAAAAAGGACTAAATGTAAAATGAAAAAGATGTAAATAGGCCATGATGTAGCCTATTAATAAGTGTAACAATATTATGGGGTAGGGGAATAGTGTCTTTTCATTATGGTCTGGGAAAGTAATAGCTTTAAGATCAAATATCCAAAACGCTTCACATTGTGATGGAAGTTTTTGTCTATTTCCAGCTCTAATGGAGTGTAGAATGACCTCAGTGGCTGCCACTTTGAGGGAGATTGGATCACTGTGATTGGCCTGTTTATAATGCTTGGCCATTGGATAATTGACATTGTCTGTCCCAATGGCATGCTTATGTTCAGCTACTCTATCTCTCTGCCTGCTTCCTCTGCGGCTAGAAGAGAGGCGACTGCGTGGGCTAACGTTTAGAGCGTTTCCTTTCATGGGGCTTTTAATTTGATATATCTCCATTATAAAAACCGATTCACTGCAGTTTTAGTTGAATAAAGGCTTTAATATAATTTCCCAATCATTACTATGTTGGAATTTGCGATGTATTGGCCTTTGTAGAACAAACCTTTAGGAGAAGTACATGTTCCTACAGCGAATTTTGTTCATTTGAACAGATTACCAAACATATTCTCAAACCTCCCAAAAAGCATTTTCAGATACATTCTGAAATTAAAATTCTCAGTTTGAAATCCCTCATTTCATATAGTTTTATAAAGGTTTTACTGGACATACTTTACATAGTTGACTGGTTGCCGCACACAAACCAAAAATAAGGAAGTCTGAAGGAGAATGCATCTTCAAAGCTGTGCAGTTTCACAGCAATTTGGGTGTTTTGTTAATAAGTAGACCCTGGAAATTTTGCAGTGATCCTCAAAAAGCCATGGAAAACATACATCTGATCTGAAGGGGGGGACTGTCTGATGTTCCTCTGGCTGGGAGAAAAGGAACGCAGTCTGAAAGTCTGAGACCGAAGGTGATCGAGCCTGTCCCGATTTCAAAGGAGAGTCGTGGATACTTGCCCCTGGTTGTGCCTCAGCGCCAGTCCGCCGTCCCTCCCCCGTCTCCATGGCAGCAGGCGTCTCGCGCTCCTCCCCCGGTGACGGCCTGATTGACGGGCTGTTGCTCAGACTGACACGTGTCAGGGCCCCCCTGTTCGGGAGCCGGGAAGCTCCGAGACTGACGGGCGGACAGAGAGACGCAGGGCAGCTGACACCCCTCCTCCTCCCTCTCCAGACCCTTCCCGAGTGCTGAACGTTTCGATCTGCCTTTATTGCGGCCCATTGATTTTGCTTGACGCAACCCTGCTGCTGTAAAGCGCTCTATGCGTCTGGGGCCTGGCCCTCTCGCTCTGCCTCCCCTTGCTCGTCCACCTGATTTTAATGGGGGTTTCAGTCATTACCCTCCATTCCTGAATGAGCATGACGCCACATGATTCATCTCTGAAGTAATAAAAATGGCGGCCTCTCAAACCCCCGAAGCATTACATTGCCGAGCAGACGCTCTTATCCAGAGTTACTTGCACGGCTTACGTTTTTACATGTTGTCCATTTAGGCAGCCAGATATTTATTGAGTCAATTTGGGTTAAGCACTTTTCTCAAGGGTACAACAGCAGCGCATCACCTGGGATTCAAACTGGCAACCTTTCAGTTACAAGCCCTGCCACTTCCCTCTCTACCACCACTGCTGTAGCAACACACCACTGTCCTATTTTGTGGACAGATAAGCAGCTCCTGTCCCCTTTCAGTCACGCATACTTTGCTACCCAAGAAGTTCCGGTTGGCAATGAGA